AAATATGATACAAAATCATTAAAAGTATCGTTGTAATCACTTTAAAATCACTATAAAATCGAATATAAAATGTTGTAACTAAATAAATTACAACCCAAATTCCAACATTTATTACGAATATGAAAAAGATAAAAAAAAACACAATTATATATATATATATATATATATATATTTGTAGTCTTATTTTCGAGAAGAAAGACTCGTACTTTTGTATAATGATTTGTTTATATGACTAAATCAAGTTAAACAATTTGTTTATATATTTATGACCTGTAAGACATGACCCGAGTGTAAATTGTGATAGCCCGGGTACCGTATGAGAGCGGGAGTGATCGTCGCTGCGAGAGGCACAGACAAAGAACGATTCTTGATCGAGTTTCTGGGTAGGAGGTACAGGGATGAATCGAATGCACCAGAGTGAGAGGGACCTGAGGGTTGTGTAGGTATGAGACTACACAGTCAAAGATAACTTAAAAAAATTGATTGAGCTATTCATAAAAACAAGATGCATCTACCTTTTCGGTTGTCTATCCCGAAAAAACTCCAAAGTTAAGTGTGTTTTCATTGGAGTAGTCTTAGGGTGAGTGATATCCTAAGAAGTACTTTCCGGGATATGTGTAAGTGAAGACAAAACACGCTAAAAGATCTCGTATTGGTATGTGAAGACAGTTTTGACATTACGTAGCGGCCTCTTAGCGTTACATAAATGGACCCTACATATCCTCTCCTTCAAAAATGTTTATTAGATGGACTCTACATGATCCTTATAAATTATATTGGATCACATGGATAATATGAACAAAAGGTTTACATAATTTGTTTATGTATTTGTGATTAATTTGAAAAATTCGATCACTGTGATTTATGTGACCCGTATGACATGATATATATTATGGTAAAACAAATGAACCAAAACATTGAAAAAGAATAAAGTAAAAAAGAAGAAGAAATCTCAAAAATATTAAAAGATTGGAAATGAATGAAAGTTTGAAAGAAATATATATTGGTCTAAAAGTCAAAAGAAGAAAATAAAAATATGAAGAATGAAAAAATTAGATGAAAGATGTGTATTCGGGTCTTAGTTTGGTCTATCCCAGAAATCGTTATTGCTAAGCATCTGAATGGTAGTCGAATTAAGCTCGAAACGAGTCATGTCGATAGCTGGTAATCGTATACCGGCCATAAGCTCGGTATGCTTAGGTGTATTGTAATGAGTAATAGTTGAATCACCATTTTCCTCAACACCATCGGGAAGAGCAAGATCTCGTGCGTTCTCCATTTTTTTTACGGCGAGTGCATTTAATGGTTCTTTGGATGTCAGGGTCAATAGGTGGTAGGTATGAAGTTCCAAAACTCATAATCATGCACTATGGAACCCTACATGTACACCAGAAAACAACAAACAAACGAATAAAACGTGAGAAAATACTCAAGAAAAAGAAAAACAAATAGACCCATACTAGATAGGATCTAATCCGGTTACCTAAATTGTTCTTGACAACATCGCCAAAAAACTTGATGTCGTAAATCCAGGTATATAGGATTCAATCAAGTATTAAAATCGTATACTCAGTAAATTGCGTTAAGTGTACGGATCATATGTAGCAACTAGAGTCAAACTTAGGGAAAAAATAAACATACGAATCAAATACTAATCCAAAACTCGATCTAGAGAAGATGTGAGAGTGACGAGAATGTATCAAAGTAAATAATAAAAATCAATTGTAAACTATCAATGACGAACACTGTCTGTTTGGGGATTGTTTTATATGTAAGGATCTTTCTAAAGATTCAGATTATTTGGTTTATAGATTCAATTCGGGGAAAAGTTTTAAAGTACATATTAACTCTCTCGAATCTAATCCCACTATTCAGATTTTATCATATTAATCTCTCGATTCAATAGTCTAAACCCTGAATGTATGAACGAACGCTATCATAATCCCTAGTCAAATATCTATCTCTCGATGCAATATATGTTCTATTTATTGAGTTAATTTCAAATTGTAATCTCATATATCTATTCAAATTTAAACCCTAAGTTCATTCAATTAAGTGGCTAGTAAGATCGAAATCATTAAATCCAACTCAATAAACCAAATCAAATAAATAAACCACATAGTCATGAAAATTAAACACCAAAGATCCCTACATATCAAATCTCTAACCCACAACTATGAAACTACTCGCTAAACATCGAGACAACAATGTTCATATCAATAATACAAAAAATTATTAAATATAAGGACAGAAGAACGCTTAGTCGATTTCTCGTCTTCGTTATTTCCGTCTTCTACTTTAATCTCTTGCCTCTTGATAATCTCCCTCTTTTCTTATACTTTAGGTTCTATTCTTTGTGTAAAGTATGAATGACTTCGTCCTTGGAGGCTGCCCTTTTTTGTTTCTTTTTGTCTTGCGCGAAATCATAATATTTTCAAATCTGAGTGTCGAACCGATCGTTTCAGTTTTAAGTGAAATGATTGTTCTAGTTTCCGAGTAATTTCCAAATCTTCACGACATGAAATGATCGTTTCACCAACCACCAAACATATCGTTTTGAGTTTGTTATCAACTCTGAACGTCCAAATGTGTGAAACGGTCGGTTTGAGTTATTGCAAAATGATCGTTTTGCCTCTCTAATCTTCAATTTTCCTTCGATTTTCGCTCTCTTTTCCACTCCTATTGCTTTTACCTGCAAAAATTGACAATAAAACGAAACTCAAGCTAAACACGCACCTAAACATCCTTAAACAACATAAAACCTAGTAAATATGTCAGATGATTGATATAGAAATCCATAGTATAATACGTGTTATCACATGCTTTTATTTGCTGACTATTTTTCCATAATCGATACACTAAAGATAAGATGATAGATTGGGGAATCCAACTTGATCTACACTACTTATTCTACAATATCGCGGTCGAACCCAGAAATCACCTCTTCTTTGAATGTCTAGTAACTCAAGCCATATTTCGATGCACTCGATTTACAGATTCCTTTCTTCAATTAGGAACATATCATGAGTTGGTTGTTGAGCAGTGAGACGAACCCTCAATTATGTTAGATTTCTAGAATTTTATGACAATTGATACATACTCGAAAAGATGGTAGTATCATCGATTGTAAAGCAAAAAATCTGATTAGCGAAATCGAAAATGTAGTAAATATATTTAATTCATATATATATATATATGATAAATTTTAAATACCTATTAATAGATACATATATTATATATGTTATAGCAAACAGTACTTGAGGAATCTCAAGAGACAACGTTGGGAATGAATAGCTCAACAGAATTGTCTCAACAACAAATCGATGAGTTATACGTCCAGGTATGTATATATATCAGACCCTCAAGTTCAACAAATATGGTCGCATATATGCACTTGGATCACTAAAACAAGATATCATCAAGTATTAGACCAGCATGTGTAGAATAATTTCGTGTTGCGGATAGAATATGACGAGTTGAAGTAGTGACACAACTATCTACAATTATTGGTTGATAACATCGGGAATATCAGCACCGGCGGGGCTGGGGGGAATGGGGGAAATAATGATCCTCCTGATGATGATGATGGTAGCGCTGATAAATTTAAATGATTTTGATTTTAACTAATTAGAAATAAAAACAATTTTTTATATTTATTTTTTATTTTTTTTTTATTTTTTTAATTCATTGGCAATTAAATATTGCGTTACAAATTCCGTTACTATGCAACATTTGCAACGAAATTTCGTTGTGAATGTACAGAATATTTTACTAAATTAAATAACTAAAAAAATTTGCAACGCTACAAAGCGTTGCGTGTTGTTGCAATTTGCAACGAAATGTCGCATTGCTAAGCGTTGCAGTTAGCAACGCAAAATTTCGTTTCTAAAACGTTGTTACTACCAACGAAATTTTGTTGCTAACGAAGCAACGTTCTTGCAACGCTTATCTTGCATTGCAACTCGCAACGAAGTTTGACTACGTTGGAAACTTCGTTGTAATTTGCAACGAAATATTTAGCGTAATTTCGTTGCAAGTTGCAACGATTAGCAATGGTTTGTCATTTGCAATGACAATTTAGCAATGCAACGTGTTTCATTGCAATTTTGTTACAAAATGTGATTTGCAGCGAAAATTTTCCGTTGCAAAAACGCAGGTTTTTTGTAGTGACACTATGAAAGGAAAAATAACTAAAGATTGCATATATGAGTCTTCCTTCCAGAATCATCGATAATTAGAGAGATAGACAAAGGTTTCAGAATGAAGATGGCGGCATTCCGAACTATCGATCTAACTACGGCTTCTACAGGGACTTGGTTCTCCAACGTTCACTAATCACATATACTCCAAAGCTTGTATTTAAGTTTTCTTAAAACTATCTTATTGGGCAAAGGAACACTTTATACATATCTTTTTTTAATAGATAATATAACAACATTTATCCAAAAAAAAAGTAAAATTAAACAATGGACAATTGTCGTAATTTTTTTTACCATATTGGTTATTTTTTAATCAAAAAACTAAAAAGGCTATTATTTAAGGGTATCAATTTAAGAATGATGCCCAAAATCTGGTCCGGCTTAGCCCGAATATTAGCAGACTTCGGGTCTAAGTTTTTCGGCCCGAAAAAAAATCTGATTTTCGGGCCGAACTCAAATCGGACTTCGCACTCGGTTGGACCGCGGTCCAAAAACTCAAAATTTAAAAAAAAATAATAATAAAAGAAAAAAATAATATTTACAAAAGGAATTATGCGAGTTGGGGCCGACTCAAACCCAAAATATATAGAGTCGGACTTTGGACTTTAACTATATAGATGCGAAAAAAATCGGACCGTCCAAACCCGAATCAAAACCTTCGGACTGAATGCGGATTTGGACCGGGTCGGACCGGACCGACCCGACTGACATCCCTACTATATATTATTATCAACCATATATTTATTTATCACTTTATTTGAAGTAATTATTTTGGTAGATCATATTGAATTATTATAGAACTATGTAATCGCACACAATTTTATTAGAAAACACAATGAGTACAATAAAATTACAACCTTCCACAAACCAAAACAAAGAAAAAAAAAAGTCAAACACCAAAAAGAAAAAGTTACACGTAAATTATAATACAAAAAACAAACGGCTCCTCTCCATGTATACGCAGTGAACACAAGAACTCACCGCTTTTATTCAATCATATACATTTATATACCAACAGATATATTCACGACACTAGCGACGACAACGTCATACCGTACGGAACCGCAAACGCGGATATTTGGTGGTGCGTTTCGAAATCGTGGCGTTTAAGGACACTTGCGGCGGCCGCCATGTGTGGTGAGGGTGGCATAACAATGGCATTTCTCGTAATTCCCTGCCGTACCTGGCGGGACACAGTTACAACGTTTGCAACACGTCCCGCAGGCACGGTGGCATAACCTCGGTCTGCTCGAGAGTTTGCACCGTGTGAAACACGCGCTTCCGCAATCTAAATATATATTTTTTATGATCGCAAAATAAAAACATTTAGCAAAAGGTAGATATTTTTTTTAAACTATGATCTAAATTCATGATCTTTACAATACTAAGTAAATATTAATACACATACAAAAGAGTAATTACCGATTTTCTTTGGGTAGTCGTACGGAGATTTTGAGCTTGCCTGCTTCAAAGAAACATGATGAAAGATCGTAAAAACTATTGAAAAATTCTAAATTATAAAACTAAATTACGTTAAATCGGATTTTTTTTTTTTTTGAAAAAAAAAATTGTACCACATCGGCTTGAACAAGGTGGAGAACTAGCAGGGAGATGAGCAGAGAAGCGAGGAGAACTTTGGGAATGGCCATAATTCAACGCTGGATTTTCAGAAAACGGTACGGACAATGAAGAGAAAATATATCGTGAATTGCAGGAAGATGTGATGTGTTCGTGGAGAGGCGAGGGAGGGTTCTATTTATAGCCGGAGAAGCCGCCTCAATTTGGTCTAGAGGATTCATGTGATGCTTTTTTAATTATTATTTTCTATATATACATATATATATATATATATATAATATTGTATGTTATTTTGTTAGGAAAATTTATAAATTCGATTGTCAACAATAGTTTCTAATATTTATATCCATAGGTTCAAATTTTGATTCAGTACAACCATGCTTCACACTTTGTTGAAATGGTGATTTCAATTATTGTTAGCCATTTAGAGTATACGAATTAGTGACAAATAAACAAAAAGGGAATGTATTTTATGAAATTTTCAGTTTTTACTGTAGAATAAAACATCTTGAAAATTAAATAACAGGGTTAAATTCAAATGAGCAACCCTATTGTTGCATACTGTGGTCCGAATTTACTCCCGTCTAGAATGTAAAAAGTTTCACGTCAGTTTTTTTTTATTTTTTATTATAGACAACGCTACAATCTTTTTTATATAGTTGTGAATAAAATAAATATACCAATTAACCTTAAAAAAATACATAGAAAATTTGCTAATTATAAAAAGGGGTTTGATAAATGGGTCGGTGGGTGCGTATAAAAAGTGGGCGTACGCGGACAAGCGAATATTCTGGCGGAGAAATTTGTCATGAGGTTCCTATTTTTTTCTTCTGAAAATATTTCAATGATATATATATATATATATATATATATATATATATATATTTTAATTTCTTGAAACAAAATTCTGCTATTTTATTCCCTTAAAATAATTATACGAGAGACCATATTTAACTCTATTAATTGATTCAATTAATCACCTAAATGATACGTTTAATAAACGAAACTTTTGACTTTCTTGACTAATCCAATCCAAGGATTACTGACTGATAAGCGTATTAAGACAATTTTTTTATTTCTTTCTTTGGAAAAGTGTGTATTTTATTATAATATTCGTTTCACTCACTTTTCTATGAACTGTATGACGTTGATACTCGATTTTTGCTTTCTTCCTCTCTTTTTTTTCTAATCCCGAAACACAATTATTTGGGATATTATATGAAATTTGCAATATATATATATATATATATATATATATATATATATATA